ATCAGAGGTTGATCATTTGGAGCTTCATTACGCGGTACAGCCCCAGAAGACGAAGGCAATAAATGCCTTTGGAACAAACCTACAAATCTCTGATGATCAAGTAAAACCTGACCATCAGTTTCCTTCATCTGGTCAAGCTTCCTCTTCATGTTTGTAGCATAGTCATGTGCGAGCCGGTGCAACTGTTTATTCTCATGCTTGAGCCCTCTAATCTCCTGTTTGAGACTCATCACTTCAGCCGCCAATGATTCAACTTGGCGGGTTCGAGCAAATAGGCGTTGGGCCATATTAGACACAGAACCTGCACACTGAACACTGAGAGCCAGCGAATCCTTAACAGCTAACTCATCAGACCGTTTGGAAAGTAGTCTGTTATCTTTGGGAGTGAGAAGGTTCCTGGCCACCACCGCAGCGGTCATATCATTCTTCATCACGGAATCCCCAACGGTAAGAGGACCAGTAGGGGAGACAAAGGATGGGCGCCATATGTTGTCTGGAGAAGGCGGGGCTGCCTCTTCAACAAGGTTCAAGTCAAAACGACGGTCGGAGGGGCCAGACATTTTCAAAGGTGTTGAAGAGAGAAGAGGTCGGACAAATCAAGATCTTAGAAGTGCAAGAATGAAGCTTCTACTGGTGGAGATTCAAGTGTGCTTTGGAACTTAATGTCAGCCCTTATAAAAATCTGCACTCGACGGAGCTTCAGAAATCGAAGAGGCGCCTGCTCAGAAATCGAAGAGGCGTTTGCTTTCTCAAAAGCTGGGCTGCTTAGAGATCACGATGGTTGATCTCAGAAATCTAAGAGGCGTTTGCTTTCTCAAAAGTTGGGCTGCTCAAAGACCACGAAGGCTGGTCTCAGAAATTGAAGAGGCGCTCGCTTTCTCAAAAGCTGGGCTCCCCAGAGACCACGAGGGCCGATCTCAGAAATCGAAGAGGCACCTACTTTTCCAGCCTTGTCAGCACCTGTCACGCGCACACACTCAGCTTTGCGGAAATTATGGGCATTCTGTCGAAGACTTCTGGGGAAGTAGAAAACACATGAATCTTACTGTTCAATCACCCACTTCCCACACGCAACAATAGCTCATGGGTACCACAGAAAACTTTGCCAAAGTTCTCTGCTAAAGTCGAGCACGTGAAGCTTGCAGCTCCCACTACATCGCTCTGACCAAGAAGGGTAAAAGAATAGCAAAGAAACAGCACTAACAAAGTTTAGACCCATAAATTTTGAAGGTCTAGCTACCATATTTATTACCCACAAGGGTAAAGGAACAGTACCACTGCTGGATAATTGGACAGTCCCTGTGTGTCAACCTCTGTGCTTCGTGGCAAGGTAGACTAGCAAACATGCCCAACCTTTACTCACATTCGAGAAAAACACTCCCAATAAGATTGCTTGCTCCAAAATCGAAGAGGCACCGTCCTCCGAATCTCGAGAGCCAGACTCCCAACATGACTACTTTCTTAAAAATCGAAGAGAGGGTAAAGGAACAGTACCATTGCTGGATAATTGGAAAGTCCCTGTGTGTCAACCTCTGTGCTTCGTGGCAAGGTAGACTAGCAAACATGCCCAACCTTTACTCACATTCGAGAAAACACTCCCAACAAGATTGCTTGCTCCAAAATCGAAGAGGCACCGCCCTCCGAATCTCGAGAGCCAGACTCCCAACATGATTACTTTCTAAAAAATCGAAGAGACACGGCTCCCCGAATCTTCGAGAGCCAGACCCCCAGCGTGACTGCTTTCTCAAAAAATCGATGAGGCATCGTTCTTCGAATCAATCGAAGAGGCGCTCGCTTTCTCAAAAGCTGGGCTGCTCAGAGACCACGAGGGCCGATCTCAGAAATCGAAGAGGCACCTACTTTTCTAGCCTTGTCAGCACCTGTCACACGCACACTCAGCTTTGCAGAAATTATGGGCATTCTGTCGAAGACTTCTGGTGAAGTAGAAAGCACATGAATCTTACTGTTCAATCACCCACTTCCCACACGCAACAATAGCTCATGGGTACCACAGATAACTTTGCCAAAGTTCTCTGCCAAAGTTGAGCACGTGAAGCTTGCAGCTCCCACTACATCGCTCTGACCAAGAAAGGTAAAAGAATAGCAAAGAAACAACACTAACAAAGTTTAGACACATAAATTTTGAAGGTCTAGCTACCATATTATTACCCACAAGGGTAAAGGAACAGTACCACTGCTGGATAATTGGAAACTCCCTGTGTGTCAACTTCTGTGCTTCGTGGCAAGGTAGACTAGCAAACATGCCCAACCTTTACTCACATTCGAGAAAACACTCCCAACAAGATTGCTTGCTCCAAAATCGAAGAGGCACCGTCCTCCGAATCTCGAGAGCCAGACTCCCAACATGACTACTTTCTCAAAATCGAAGAGAGGGTAAAGGAACAGTACCATTGCTGGATAATTGGAAAGTCCCTGTGTATCAACCTTTGTGCTTCGTGGCAAGGTAGACTAGCAAACATGCCCAACCTTTACTCACATTCGAGACAACACTCCCAACAAGATTACTTGCTCCAAAATCGAAGAGGCACCGCCCTCCGAATCTCGAGAGCCAGACTCCCAACATGATTACTTCCTCAAAAATCGAAGAGACACTGCTCTCCGAATCTCGAGAGCCAGACCCCCAGCATGATTGCTTTCTCAAAAATCGAAGAGGCATCGTTCTCCGAATCTCGAGAGCCAGATACCACAGACCACTTTTTCAAAGTGCTCTGACAGAGTTAAAACATGTGAAACTGACAGCTCCCACTACCGTGCTATGACCAAGCAGGGTAAAGGAATAGCATTACTACTTGTTAGGGAGACTCCTATATATGTCAACCTCCATCCCCAACGGACAGGCAGACCTGCAAAAATGCTCAACCCTTCATCATATCTGAGAGGGCACTCCCAACGAAGCCTTTCGAAATATTCAGCTTTCTTTCCCCCCGATAATACCTCTGCAAACAAGCTATACTAGAGCAAGAATATCTCATATCATCAGGGTTAAAAGCAAGAGTATCCCATATCATGCTTTTTCCCTGTCTTTTCCTTTGGCCTTGTTTTTACCTGCAAGACAAGGAGAAAGAGAGCAATCAGTCAGCACTTGGAATCAAGCTTCCAGCCAAGAACTGACTGCCTGGAACCCCTTACCTGATTACTTACCTGGCATTGCTCTCGAGTACTCATCTTCAACATCTTATGTTTCCAGGGAAGATTCTGCATCTGCTTGAGGAACAGATAGGGCAAGTGCGAAGGATACAAGGAAGCATGTGGAGACAAGCGTAACAGCACACGTGCCGATACATCCATTACTCTGTCAAAAGCAAAAGTATCCCATATCAGCAGGGTGGAACGTACTCTAGATTTGATGGACTTGTTTTGACCCTCAAATTCTTCAGTCGGCCTTATACTCTGGAGGAAACCAGAAAACCTTCCAGCTCAGTTCAAGAATAAGCCTGTGGAAAGTTACTTCTTCAAAAGCAAAAGTATCTCATATCATCTCTTCTCATTTTTTTCTTCTCTTTATCCTTCATGCTGCTGCAAGATGGGGAGAAGGTGAACAATCAGTCGGAGCTCTGATTGCTTACCTTGTCTGTCACCTCTTTCAGCAGACCCCCTAGCTCGGCGACTTGGGGGACTCCTACTACATGGTTTGTATCGCGCTTGACCAAGCCTGAAACTACAAGTAAGCTTCAAGTGAAATTGATACATTACCTTGTGCATCTCCACCAGTTAAAGATACCACCCCTGGATGGAGGAAGAGTACTTCCAGAGAAGATGCCACATCTACCTATGAGACAGATAAGGCAAGTCAAGACGACTCCACACTCCGATACTTAGAAGTTTCGTGATTACGAGATCATTCTCCCACAATATTTCTTAATGTCATTTGTACTAAATCATTCACTTGTACTCACTAAAGGAGAGCTTGAACCTATGTACTTGTGTAAACCCTTCACAATTAATAAGAACTCTTCTATTCCGTGGACGTAGCCAATATGGGTGAACCACGTACATCTTGTGTTTGCTTTCCTATCTCTATCCATTTATATACTTATCCACACTAATGACCGGAGCAATCTAGCGAAGATCACAAAAAGCGACCGTTTTCGCTACCTAGGATCTATCTTGCAAGAGAACGGAGAATTAGATGGAAATCTCAACCATAGAATACGAGCTGGATGGATGAAGTGTTAGAATGCATCCGGCGTGTTGTGTGACCGTCGTAGGCCACTGAAGCTCAAGGGAAAATTTTATAGGACGGCAATAAGGCCAGCGATGTTGTATGGCACAGAATGTTGGGCGGTGAAGCATCAACACGTACACAAAATGGGTGTAGCGGAGATGAGGATGCTTCGTGGGATGTGTGGGCACACGAGAAAGGATAAGATTGGGAATGAGGATATCCGAGGTAAAGTAGGAGTAGCCGAAATTGTAGGAAAGATGAGAGAAAATCGGCTCCGGTGATTTGGACATGTGCAAAGAAGGCCGAATGACGTTCCGGTTCGAAGATGTGACTACGGGACAGAGGTTCAGGGCCGAAGGGGTAGAGGAAGACCTAGGAAAACTTTGGAAGAGACTCTAAGAAAAGACTTAGAGTACTTGGATCTAACGGAGGACATGACACAAAACCGAGCGCAATGGCGTTCTAGGATTCATATAGCCGACCCCACTTAGTGGGAAAAGGCTTTGTTGTTGTTGTTGTTGTTGTTGTTGTATTTAATGAACCACATACTGTTACAATTGGTGATTATATTTTTTCAAATGATTTAAAATTATAAATACAATTATATTTTTTATATCACAATATATATGAGACTCACTTGTAGTAATTGATCTTACTTTTATTAGAGAGTTGATCCAAATTTGATATAAAAAATATAATAAATTTAATCGTCAACAATCACATCTATAAATTATAAAATATAAGTAAAAATAGTTTATTTGTCGTTACCTTACAAAAATCACAAAGCTGCGGTGAAATCCATATTATATTTATAACAAGTACAAACCACACAACAAAAAACCCAAACATTCAACACTGTTACTTTTCACATTCATCGAGATCTTAAATATCCCACACAGAATTGCTATGCAGCAGCAGATTTGGCTTCTCTGATCAACGTCTGATCAGTGATCACCGGCCGTCGCTTTCATCTGAAACTCCAAGATGGTCCAACTCCATGGGAAGTTCAAGGCTTTCGTCAACAGCAGATGGCTGGTGTTTGTGTGTGCAATGTGGATCCAATCCTTTGCAGGAATAGGGTACCTGTTTGGGAGCATATCACCTGTGATCAAGTCCACCATGGGCTACAGCCAGAGAGAGGTGGCGATTCTTGGAGTGGCCAAGGACTGGGGGGATGCCGTAGGGTTTGTGGCTGGAAGCCTGTCTGAAATATTGCCCACCTGGGGCATTTTGGTCATTGGAGCAGTCCTCAACTTTGTTGGTTATGGCATGCTTTGGCTTATTGTCTCTCAGAGATTGCCTGCTTTGCCTCTCTGGGCGGTGAGTTAACTTGTTCAACTTCAATCCAAATCTCATCATCAAAGTCTTCTTTTGGGATCTGCTACACAGATTTTATCATAGCTCCTCTCCATATTTTTGCTAGGATTCCAGTTTTTGTTTTTATGATTGGTTTTAGATGTTCGGGACTGCTTCTGAAAGGGTTAAAAGTGTTTCTATATCATAAAAGCGCTTTCTGGAGACGTAAGGGGCCTTCCTGCTTCTTTAGGAAACACTTCCAATTGTATTTTAAGGAAGCACTTGGATTTTTAATAAAATTTCAAACATGTTTCTAATAGTAGAACTTATGACAAAAGTGCTTGTGAGTATAAGTGATTCCTACAAGTACAGTCTTGAATGAGCCTGATATCTGATTTGGAAAGGATATACATCGACAAAATTTTCTACTGGTAAATCAAATGACTGTACATTTTGTTGTCTTGTACTCTTTGTTGTACTGTTGAAATTCATATATTGAAATTTGCCATTTTTATCACAAAAGAAAATAACACAAAATTGAGTCTTGTGTGTATTCAGTTGGCATTGTTGTAGTCTTCCTAGCGTTGTTTTTTCTTTGCATAAACTGTCCTGCAGATTGTATTTGTGTCGAATCCGCGTAGTCTTCTGCATTTTTGTTGTGAGCAGAATTGCTAACCAGGTTTTATTTTTCATTTTCTCCTTCTGTGCAGCTCTGCATTTTTATATTTGTGGGAACAAACGGAGAGACGTTCTTCAACACAGCAGCATTGATATCATGTGTGCAGAACTTCCCCAAAAGCCGGGGTCCTATAGTCGGGATCCTAAAAGGCTACGCCGGTTTGAGTGGCGCGATATTGACTCAGATTTACGCAATGATCAACTCCCCTAATGAATCATCAATGCTTTTTATGATTGCAGTCGGCCCATCAATGGTTGCCATTGCTCTGATGTTCATTGTTAGGCCTGTGGGAGGCCACAAGCAAGTAAGGCCATCTGACAATTCAAGCTTCCTGTTTACTTACAGCATTTGCCTTGTTCTGGCAGCTTATATGTTGGGAGTTTTGCTTGTCGAGGATTTAGTCAACATAAGTCAACCTTTGATCACATTGTTTGCAGTTATCCTAATCATTCTCATTCTGCTTCCAATTGTGATCCCCGTCATACTGGTTTTCTTTTCCGAGCCAACACATTCGATGCAGGAGAGCCTTCTCATTGAATCGCAGAGTGAAGAAGCTGGAAAATCTGAGCAGGACAAGACTGAGGTCATTTTTAGTGAGGTGGAGAGTGAGGTGGAGGATGATAAGTCCCTGGAAGTGAACTCGCTTTCAGTGTCCGAAAGACAGAAGAGAATTGCTCAGCTGCAGGCTAAGCTGTTACACGCAGCTGCAGATGGAGCAGTGAGGGTTAAGAGGCGAAAAGGCCCGCGTAGAGGAGAGAATTTCACCTTGATGCAGGCATTGGTAAAGGCAGATTTTTGGCTCATAGTATTTTCCTTATTTCTGGCTGCTGGATCTGGCTTGACAATTATTGACAACTTAGGTCAGATAACTCAGTCACTTGGTTACAATGATTCGAGTATTTATGTTTCCATGATCAGCATTTGGAACTTTCTTGGACGCGTTGGGGGCGGTTACGTCTCTGAGATTATAATAAGGTGACATAATGTGGAGCCATAAAATTGAGTATTTTTTTTCCTTACACACATTTCGCACGATGATTTACTAGTCCTCATGTGCATGTTTGTTCTTTTACCAGAGATTACGCTTACCCTAGACCCGTGGCAATGGCGGTAGTTCAGGTCATCATGGCATTCGGGCTTTTCTACTATGCCATGGGATTTCCAGGGCAGATTTATGTGACAACTGTGCTGGTAGGACTTGGTTATGGTGCTCACTGGGCAATTTTACCAGCTGCAGCCTCAGAGCTCTTCGGGTTGAAGAGTTTTGGGGCCTTGTACAATTTTCTTACAATGGCAAATCCCGCTGGTTCTCTTATATTCTCAGAAGTGATTGCTAGTGGAATATACGACCACTACGCGAAGGAACAAGCTACGCTCAGACACCAAATTTCAGGTTCAATGCTCATAAAACCCCTCCGCGATGAGGACTCACTCACTTGTGTTGGCACTATATGCTATTCCATCACTTGTGGAATACTCTCAGGACTCTGCATTGTTGCATGTGTCTTAAGTTTAATCGTTGTTCACCGGACTAGGAGGGTTTATACGCAGCTCTATGGATCGAGCACTTGAGCTGCGAAAGCAAAAGGGCAACTAGATACCTGCGGCGATCAGCACATTGCGTCTGAAAGGCCTTTCTTCCTACGAATCCAAGTCCCCTGTGGGGATTTTTCTCTGAACATTAAATGGAATTCTTTTCTTCTCTCGTTTACAACCGAAGAACAATTCGAAAGATTTGCAGAATTTTTTTTTCCCGATTGATTACGCTCTGTGATGAGAAATTAATAATGTTTCAACTTCTTGATATTTATATGTAAACAACAGATGCAGTTGCAGAAAAGGTACAATCTTTGTCATGGAAATCTTTTGTTAAAACAACATCAATAGCTTCAAAAGGCTGAGATTTCTTGAGGTTTAAGGAAAGATACCTCGAAAGTGAAGCCCATTAAGCGGCCCAAAATCCAGTACAAGGCTAAAAAGCCCACAACGTCTGATGGGCTTGGTCTTCTGTTAGTCTAATAAGGTAATTTTCTTACATAATATGGCTAGTTTTGCTGGTTCCACGTCAGCATGAAATGGGTTTTTTGGTCCAAATAAAATCTACATGCATGCATATCTACCGAGAGAATCTGAGGTGGCATACAGTGGATTATGTTTGCCACAAAATCTACACTGTATTTACAAACTAGTTGATATATTAATTAAGTTTTAATTTAATTCAAATATATCGTTACAAGGAGCGATATTCGTGTGTCGTTTATTTAACATGCAGCCTTGCGAAGCTAGTTACGGCTAATCTTTGAGCGCTCCTTTCAAATAGATGCGTTATAAATTGATCAACAACTTTAAAATGTGACTGAAAAATATAATACGTAATATAACATCAAAGAAAATAAAATAAACTTACGCAAAACATCTAGTAAAACAAGATTACATGTTGATTTTCTTGTATTCCTAGTAAAATTTTCCATATTAGGTAAAAATAAATATGGGAATATAGGAAAGTTGCAACCATGTAAACCAAAAATTAGGCCAATTGCAGCAATGGTCACTATATTTAATTGAGATTTCACTTTTGTCCTTCTAAAATTTTTGTTTCGCTTTCTACATGGACGAAAGTGAAGTCTCAAATAAACTAGGACCATTCTTGCAAATCGGCGCAAAACTTAACCATGGTTAGGGTTTTAAAATGGCCCAAGTGGGCATGATTTACAAAAATTGAAACTGCAGCGATGGTCGTTATAGTTTATTTAAGATTTCACTTTAGTATTTTTTTCGTTTCACTTTCTACAAGGTCAAAATTGAAATCTCAGGTAAACTATAGGGACCGTCGTTGCAATTTAGCCAAAAATTTAACCCTAGGTAGGATTTTAACCTTTTGGCCAACCAATGGTTAGGTGGCATCATTTTACAAAAGCCGATGCTACCTATATATATGTGTGTGTGTGTGTGTGAAAAAAAACGTGCATGCAAAATCTCCTCAGCTATTGAAAGAATTTAACCAAATAAAAAATTGGGATTACTTGAATTTTGATCAGGGCGAACAGAGGGCGAGCATAAGAATTTTGCGGAGAATTCATCAATGGCGTATCTGCGATCACAAAATTGAAATGGGTAAATTTCATCTCTCTTATATATATCTGTTTGTATATGGTTTCACTGAGGCACGTATGGAATTTTTTTTTTTTTTTTTTGCCCTTTTTTCTCATAAATTCTTAGTAATGCTAGTAAATTTCTAGGGTTTTAGGCAAAGCTACTGAAATTGGGCAGGTAGAATGTGTAATTTGAACTCTTATTGGCAGCTGATTTGGATTGTTTGCATGTCTGTTTGTTTGTGCGGGTTTTGCATATTTCATCATATATCATCAGATTTTAGTAAATTTGAGAACGGGATATTTGGTTTTTGTTCTTAAATTTTCAAATTTGGAGCTTGATTTTTCTGTTTGGATTGTAATTTTTGTTCATTTGAAGTGTTTGATAGCTGAGATTTTACTTCTAAAAGAAATTCTCATTTGGTCTTGTGATGAATTGTGGGAAACGAAAACTTGGAATTCAGATATATAGATACACCCTGTGATCTGTCATTAGGTTTACAAGCGTTTCGCGGGAACAAAATAGGCCGTTGGGATTTTATTTTACTGCCTCTTGTTGATTGGGATCATGATTTTACTGATTAGTGGCTGAATGTGAAATGTGTGTGGCATTGCAATCCGTAATGTACTTTTCTTGATTAATCCTTTGTTAATTTGGAGTTCAGTGTTTAACTTGTTGATTTTATGAGACATGATTTCCCGCGCATTTTGTTTGATCGTTGAATTGAGTATTAAAGATTTGGTAACTGATATATCTTAGGAAGATTGGATAACTGAATGTGAAATGTGTGTGGCATACAAATTCTGTGATTCTCAATGTACTTATGGTAATTCATCCTGCATTTATTTGGAAGTTCAGCGCTATAACTTGTTGAATATGGTGGATACATGATTTCCCGCGTACTTTGCGTTGAATTGAGGATTCTAGATTAGGAGGTGTTAAAGATTCGGTAACTGATATATCTTAGGGACATTGTATAACTGAATGTGAAGTTTGCGTTGCATTGCAATCATATGATTCTCAATGTACTTTTGTAATTCATCCATTGTTTATTTGGAAGTTCAGCGCTTTAACTTGTGAAATTTTGTGGACATGTGATTTCCCGCGTATTTTGTTTGATTGTTGAATTGAGTATTCTAGATTAGGTGTTAAAAGATTCGGTAACTGATATATTTGAGGAAGCATTCATTAGCTCTTTTTTTCTAGGTTTGTAGTCGTCTTTGATTAATCATGGCTGTACTGCTTGGGATAATCTTTGTGTATTTAATTAATATCTGAGTTCAATTAGTTTCCTTATTGTGGTTTTCTGTTTTCTGATTGCAGCTGCTACAATACGAAGTAACTTCTTAATGAGGTGTGGAAATATCGGGTGTTAGATAAAAACAATACCCGGGTTTATTCTTGTTCGCAACGTGGAAACGTGGCGGCCTACCAATAAAAGAAGTACCAAAGGAAATAACGTGGGCAGATACAGAGTCACCAACATCGTGAAAATGGAATGTAATAAAGACGAGGCCCTCAGGGCGAAAGAGTTCGCAGAGTTGAAGTTTACAGAGCGTGATGTCTCTGGGGCTCTAAGATTTGCTTTAAAGGCCCATACCTTGTATCCCGAGCTTGATGGTCTTCCTCAACTTTTGACAACTCTTCATGTTCACACCTCCGCTCAGAAGGAAACAAATGGGGAGACCGATTACTACAAGGTCCTCAGTGCGGAACCGTTGGCTGACAAGGACACAATCCGAAAGAAATACAAGAGACTGGCACTCTCTCTCCACCCAGATAAAAATAAATCTGTAGGCGCAGACGGTGCTTTCCAAATTGTTAATGAAGCCTGGACTTTGTTGTCTGATAAAGACAAGAGATTTCTTTATGACCAGAGGCGGAGCTTAGGATACATGCTTGAAAGAGTTCCAGATGGCAACTTTTCTGCAGCAACTAGTCAGAATGGTTTTCATACCTCCTCCAACTATAATCATTCAAACGGAAGGGATCAGTGGAGTGCAACCTATACCGAGCATGTTACAGCAATGAGTCAGAATGGTTTCCATACCTTCTCCAACTTTAATCATTCAAACGGAAGGGATCAGAGGAGTGCTTCTTACCATAATAGAGCAACAAGTCAGAATGGTTTATATACCTCCTCCAACTACAATCATTCAAACGGAAGAGATCAGAAGAGTGCTACTCATACTGAGCATGTCACAGCAATGAGTCAGAATGATTTCCATACCTCCTCATACTATCATCATTCAAACCGAAGGGATCAGAGAAGTGCTACTCATACCAATTCTATTAGACCTCCTTCTCCACCAAAACCGACATTTTGGACTGTGTGCAGTAGTTGCAAGATGCAATTTGAGTATCTTTGGACTTATCTGAACCAATACCTTCTGTGTCACAACTGCCGTCAGCGCTTTTTAGCTTCTGAGACACCAGCCCCCAAAATGCCCAATGGTAGATCAACTCCATGGGTTTCCTACTTTCAGCGAAAGGGTTCTAGGCAGCATAACAGAACCAAGAATACATGTGCTCCAGGAAGTTCACAGACTGCTACCATTAATGTGAAGTTAGCAGGAAATTCTGGAGTTGACACATCAACAAAAAAATTTCCGGCAGGCAAAGTCTTCAAACCGGCAAGTTTTGAAAGTGGGCAATTACGAGGTTCCTGTGCTGGTCAAACTGCAAGTGACGTTCGCCCAGGATTTGGGGAACTGAAGAGAGGGCATGAAGAGGTGGTTCTAAATAAGGAGGCGCATAAGTGGAATCGTGAAGCTTGTAAGAAAACAGATGCTGCCTTAGCGTCTGGGTCTCTTGGCGCTGCTTCCAGTTCCGTACCCAAAGAGAGGCCTAAAAAGAAAAGGCATCTGAGCAGGCAAGAGATGGGAACTCAAATGGGAATAGCAAATGGAGGAGTTGCTATGAAAAGTGTATTCGGACCGTACAAGGGTAGTGTTGGTACAGGAAGGTTTGATGTAGCTGCAGTGGATAGTGTCTTGATAGAAATGGCTAAGAAGGAAATTTCCCAGAAGCTTAAAGTGTGGAAGGAGGCTGCTGCACCGAAGACTTCATTTACATCAAAAAATGCAGATAATAACCAGGTGAAAGAGAAGCCAAAGGAAGAAGCTGGCCTGCGTGGTGTTAAAATTAGTGTTGCAGGATGTAGGGCATTTGTGAATCCCAAGAAGTCTTTCCTTTCCAATTCTCATGTTGACACTGATGTCGAGGAAGCTAATACAGTGGCAATGACTGTTCCAGACCCTGATTTTCATGATTTTGACAAGGATCGTACAGAAAAGTCATTTGGTAGCAACCAGGTTTGGGCTGTCTATGATGAAGATGATGGCATGCCCCGTTATTATGCCATGGTTCACAGTGTGATATCATTGAAACCATTCAAACTTAGCATGAGTTGGTTAAATTCGAAAAGTAACAACGAAATTGCTCCACTAGATTGGATTGCTTGTGGTTTTCCTAAGACTAGCGGGGAACTTCGGATAGGGAAGCATGTAGTCTATAAGAATCTTCCTTCTTTCTCACACAAGGTGGTTAGGTGGAGAAAAGGCAAAAGAGGAGTTGTCTGCATATATCCAACAAAAGGAGAAGTGTGGGCACTATATAGGAACTGGTCTGCTGTTTGGAACGAGCATACCCCAGATGACGTTATTCACAAATATGATATGGTGCAACTGCTTAATGATTACAATGAGGAGCAAGGTGTGACAATTGTCCCACTGGTTAAAGTAGCTG